TGTTACGCAGAGTAGCGGGATTCGCTCTTCTGGGTCCCTGGCTTGGCGTCCCGCTACCCCAGGAGGTAGAAGGGAGGCGCACGGACCAGTTTCACCCTGGCGGCGCGGGAATGCGCTGCTCCCGGGGTTTTCTGGAAAAGTCCTTGTGGTGGGCGCGAGCGGAGCGTGTTCGCGCCTCTGTTGGCGCACTTTCCGGGTTCGCCCCGCGGACCCGGGCAAGCGCCTCAGCCATTTTGAGCGGTCTGAAAATGCTAGCATTTGCAAATTTGTAGTCCCGACCCAAGTTACCTCAGTCCAGATTACTTTGAAAATGTTTTAGTCATGCTTAAAAGTGGAAAAAAAAATACAGGTGCAGGATGAAGATGCCAGTTTGAAGCTCTGTAGATTTTTTTTTCAAACAGCGCGAACAGCAGCCTAGTAATTTAGCATTTTGACGGAAATAGTTAAATGTCGGTATCCTAAAGAATTTTTAGAAGACAATAATATACATTCTTTTCCCCAAATGTTGTTTCATCTTAAGGCAGGTTATTTAAAATGAAAAGATACCAAAAGAAATTTCTGCTAAAGACAACTACTTTTGGTTAAGAACATCTTTTGAAAGTGATGTAGATGAGAAGGTTGAACGAACCTTAAAGATTATACTCTCTTAGGGGCGTCAAATTTTTAAAAATATGTCTTAAATTATATATACTTTGGCTTCACATGTTGTGAAGTTAAAGAAAAATAGTTTTCTTTGATTCCTTAAAAATATTTTAGCTTAGTCTGTAATGAATGAAAAGATAAGCTCAATATTACATTGAAAAGCATCACAATGAGATTATAAATCATAAGAACTACTAAATTATACTTGTTGGTAAAAATGATTGGGTTATGTATTTAGTGTGAAGACTGGTTGGAAGGAATTTTCACAAAGGAGTAAAATACTTTAATGGAGACATTAATTTTGAATCACTTTGATTGGGGGGGCTAATTTAAGGTTGCTAAATGTCGAGTATAAAAACAAAAAAGAATTCCGAATTTCTTACAGGATGGCGTATTAGGACTTCCCACACCAGGAATATGGTGCTGTGAAAGACAAATGCTTAAAAATCCAGATAAAAATTGGGTTTCACTCACTTGTAAATAATTTGAAATAGATATTAAACGTAAATTGAAAATAATTGCATCCTCCATCAGTTGCTGTCTCCTTCCCTGTTTGAATTAGCATTTTCTAACCAAGAGGGTTTTTGAAATGGTGTGGGTTCCTGGCTGACCTCGAACTTCACAGAGATCCGCCTGCCTCTGCCTCCCGAGTGCTGGAATTAAAGGCTTGCACCACCACTACCTTGCCCTTGTTCCCATCTTTGATGAGGGATGTGGGGATTGAACTTGGGACCACAGTTTTACTGCAAGAGCCCTTACCCACTGAGCCATAACTCTAGCCTAGTTATGGGTTTGTTTTTTTTTTTTGAAGTTCTGTACACTGAGCCTAGGGATTCCTACCTGAAGCAAGTACCATTGAGCCTGTGGAGTTGTGCTTTGAGTTACTCTTTTGATTTCCCCTTTGCTCTCGACTTTAGGCCCCCGAGGTATGGTACTTTACCTTCTGTTACCACATCACTGGTCAGTTTCCAGCGAAAGTCTTTTGCTTTTGTTACATATGTAGTAAACAGTACACTTTTTCCCCCCTTAAGCCTTTTTGGAACCAAACTTTAACAAATGTTATTTAAAAGACAAGTTGAATAAGGATGATACAGAGTTTAGTAAATGCATGGTGGGTTCTTTTTCCAGTTCTAGCTTGCCTTCCTGCCTGAATCACCTCAGGTCTCTGCCTCCTCCAGGACAGCAGGCAGCAGGTTCCAGCCCTCTTTTCCCCTAGCTGGGATACTTCATCAGTCGCTGGCTTTCCTGCCCACCCTTCTTCTTCCAGATTGTTCTGTCCTTCTGGCGTTCTCAAACCCTGCTCACCCTATTTATCTATTTATTATTCACAGCTCTGCTAGAATTCTTCTTGTCCTTGTCGGATGTTTACATTTTAAAGGCATTTGGTGGTTTTGTTTTGTTTGTCCCCCCCCCCCCCAGATAGGGTCTTGCTGTGTCACCAGGCTTGCCTCAGACTCCTGCTCCTCCTCCTTCACCCTTTTGAATGCTGGGATTACTGGCCTATGCCACAACACCTACCTACATTTTAAAGGTGTTTTGATGAGAATTTTTTTTTTCTGTAGGCTTGCTATGTACTCACGGTGTCTAGCACATTTGCTCTTGGTGTTGCTGGCTTGTTTGCTTCCCTCCATTTTCTCCTACGTGGTGAGGAACTTGGGTCTAAGCTTACCTCACTCGAATGAAGGGGCGAATGGTCTAATTCTCCCTTCTAACTGATCAGCGCTTTTTCTTGGTGGTGAGTCCACTCTACAGTTTTTCTGGCTTGGCATTATTTTCAGTACCTAGTGTCTTAGGGTTTCTGTTGCTGCAGTGGAACACCACAACCAAAAAGGAAGCTGGGGAGGAAAGGGTTTGTTTGGTTTACACCTCCACATTGGAGTTCGCTGTTGAAGGAAGCGAGGACTGGGACTCAAGCAGGGCAGGAACCTGGAGGCAGGAGGTGATGAAGATGCCATGGAGGGGTGCTGCTTACTGGTTTATTTCCTACCCAGGACCGCCTGCCTAGGAGTGGCCCCATTGACAATGGACTGGGCCCTCCCACTTCAATCATTAATTAAAGAAATACCCTGCAGGCTTGCCTATAGCCCAGTCTTATTGAGGCATTTTTTCAATTGGAGCTCCCTCCTTTCTGGTGACTTTAGCTTGTGTCAAGTTGGCATAAAACCAGCCAGCACACCTAGGGAGTCAGACGACTGGAGAAGGCCAAAAGGAGAGCTGCTTCTACCTTCCTCACAGATGTGGAGAACCACAATAGGTTAGCACAGCTTGGTAATGGTGTATGGTGACTCGCTGCCCTGTACTTCCAGGTGGCCCTGAGAAGACAGCAGGCGCAGGAAGAAGAACTGGGCATCAGCCACCCCATCCCGCTGCCCAGTGCAGCTGAACTGCTCGTTAAGAGAGAGAATAATGCCAGCAACCCGTGCCTGATGGCTGAGACCAGCAGCTCTGCCCAGCCTCCGCCAGCCAATACTCCCACCTCTGCTGCCTCAGGTAACCTGGGGGCTTGGGTTCCCATGGGACTTGGTATAAAGGGAAGAAGGAGGGTGGTAGCCATGTAAGCAGTCTCAGGGCCCTCCTGAGCGCCACATGACGTTCTCTGCCTCTGCTGCTTTGCCTTTGACTGCTTCCCAAGATGCCCGTGGCTTCTAGAAGCAAAGTGTAAACAGTTTTGACTTGCTGGTCATCAGTATCAAGAGTTGTTATCAGAGAACACCGGGGAGAAGTGAGATTGTTCGTGCATCTTCTGCATCCATCATGGGGTCCTCCTGAGCGGGAACTCGGAGTCCTTGTTTCCTGGGACTGGACATCTCTTCCTGTAGCAGGGACTCCATCCCCTAGGGGAAAGGGTCTGAAAAGGCAAATTGTAGACTTCACATTTGAACAATGAGAGGGAACATGGGAGGCATGCGTGTGCTGAGTGCCTTCCAGGGATTGTGAGTGCACAAATCCGTCTCTTCTTCCTCCAGTCACTGTGAGGCAGGGATAGTAATTCTTTGGGACAGCTGAGGTAGGAGCTAATTGACTGGCCAAATTGATTGAACTAGGAAGTCTAAATCAAATCAGTTCCTGTGCTTTCAGAATTCAGTATTTTCTCTCAACCCCAAAGAGCCACGCAGGTGAGTGCTCACTCTCTATGGAAGCCTCCAGCCACGTGTAGTTTAAAACTGTTCTGAAATACAATGAGAACATTTGGTGTCTCCAATGCACTGGCCACATAGACACATTCATACATATTCTTAGATACAAAAACACCTACACAAATTCAGTAGCCACATATGATCCAGGGCTACTGCAACAAATAATGTATTTCTGTCCTTCAAATAGTTGCTAGTGTGGTTTGAGAGCACTTGTTACTCTTCCAGAGGACTCAAGTGCGGTTCCCTGTCAGTTCACCATTACCTGTAACTCCAGCTCCAGGAGATTCAATACCCCTTTCTGGTGTCCCTGGGCACGTACCACGTACACATGTGGCATTTACACACACACACACACACACACACACACACACACACTCACATAATAAATAAAAAAGTTGATGGTGTTGGTTTGGAATTCAGGGGGTACTTAAGAAATCTGTTCGTGTTCTTTTGAGTTCAGGAGTTTCTGACAATTAAGTAAGAAGTGTCCCCGTGTCCGTGGGGCATAGGTTTCAAAAACCAGGTGAATGCTTGAAACCGAAGACAGTACTGAACCACAGACACAGGCACATATATACACACAAGTATACACACATACAGACAAGGCACACGAGCACATACAGGTACACATACAACCACATATTCAAGCACATGGATAGGCATACGTACATATACACATACACACAAATATACACATGCACACAAGGAACAAATCCATATACATGTAAACAAATAAACACATACATACTCATATACCGTATATATAAAAAGAGACTCAGATACCCATGTACACATTCATACACACATACACACAACACATAGACACATTCACATATGCAAACATACTCTTAGATACAGAAACATTTAGACACACATGCAGACACAAACATGATAACACAGGGACACACTTGCACATTTGCACGTGCTCACACAGACACATACACACAAGCACATTCGTATGCCCACAAACACGTACTATGCTTTCCTATATCTACATACTTGTGACAAAGTTTAATTTGTAAATTAGGTATTAGTAACTGCCAATAACATATTTAGAATAAAATAATTTGACATTTTTGGTTTATTTTTGCAATTTTCCATGTAATACTTCTGGACCATTCTTGCTTCTCCGGTAAGTGAAATCCCAGCAAAGGAAACTTTGAGTAAGGGGGAGGCTACTGTGCATACTGAGAGTCCCGGCTTATCTTTAGGGTCTGCTATGGCTCCGTGAAGTCCAACCTTGCACTGTGTACCACTTTGATCAAGCTTTCATGAATCACTGTTTGCTGGGCTTAACCACCAGGATAGCATTACTCAGCCCGTGTCAGTAGCTGTGCAACTTTAGACAAGTTACTCAGGTACGCTGGGCTTCCTGTTTCCCCTCTCAAAAAAACGAGAGGGCTCCTGAGGGGCGAGTGTTCCCCTGAGTCCTGGCTGTAAAGGATAAGGTAAGCAGGCCTCCAAGAAGCAGGTGTGTGTGTCTGTGTTTCTGTCACTGTGGATTGTTGAATTAACAAAGGAAAAGGTAACAGTGTCCTAATGTATGGTGACGGGATTACATCCCAAGGAGTGAGGGGCATAGGAGATACAGTAATGCATTTATCTCCCAGCTACTGAGGCTACAGTTTAGACTGTGTGCTGTCTGGGAGCTGCGAAGGGAGAGTTGTGAGATAATCACACCACGTGTCAGCAGCCTAGGGAAAGGTAGTCTAACTGGCACCAAAATCCAAAAAATAAATAAAAAGGCCAAACCTTTTTTATTAGATTTTTATGCTCATAGTAATACTTAGAATAGTTTTCAAACTTGGCTCTTCATAGGAGCAGGGACGTTCTGGCAAGGAATGTTTAAGTGGTGGTGGGATTTACAGAAAAGAGCCCAGGGGTGCAGAAGAGGGATCAGGGTCAAGGAGGACCCCAACCCGATTCCTGTTTAGCCTCAGGAGCTGACTAACCTCAGGGTCCTCGTGGCATCTTGAAGCATCAGGCAAAGGGAAGGGGATGTTTGGGCCAGTCTGTGCTGTGCGCATTCACTGGGGACCAAGTAGGGGGCCCGGCTTGGTCTGGGTGCTCACTCTGCCTTCCCAAGGAGACAGCCAGCTCAGCTCTGCCTACAGGAATTGCAATAGTCTCCTTCACAGAGCTGATCATGAGACGTCTGCATTGCAACTGATGACTTCTGGACCAAGTCGGGATAGGAGCACCAGGGACGTGGAAACGGGAGTAGAATTAAACTACTGTATTGAGAGGGAGGAGAGAGAGTAACGGAGAGAGGTTTGAAGCTTTTAGGCAGCACAGGGAAGCCAACCTCTTGGGTAGCTTGCTATTTTAGAGATTATATATAACATATATTTTAGAGATTCATTGAAAGTAACATTTACCTCAGGCAAGCAAGTATTAGGTAGTGGTCTGGTGAGATGGCTTAATGGTTAAAATGGTGTGTTGTGCAAGTCCGAGGACCCAAGTTTAGAACCCAGAGGGGAAGGAGAGAACTGATTCTTTTTTTTTTTTTTTTTGTTTTTTTGAGACAGGGTTTTTCTGTAGCTTTGGAGCCTGTCTTGGAACTAGCTCTTGTAGACCAGGCTGGTCTCGAACTCACAAAGATCTGCCTGCCTCTGCCTCCCAAGTGCTGGGAGTAAAGGCGTGCGCCACCACCGCCCAGTAGAGAATGGATTCTTTTATGTTGACCTCTGACTCCACACATGACCTGTAGCATACATGCACTTGCAACCAAACACACACGCTCTAAATTAAATTGAGCAAAATTTAAACATTAAATATTTATTATAGAGTATAAAGCACTCAGAGGAGGCCAGGGAGATGGCACACTGTGCTTGCTCCGTAAGCATGAAGACCTGTGTTCAGATCCCCAGCACTCATGGAAAAGTCCTGTGTGGTGGTGTGTGTTTGTTAACCCAGTACTGTGAAAGGGATTGAGACAGGTGGATCGCTGGAGTTTCCTGGTTGACTAGCCTAGCTAAAACAGCGAATTCCAAGTTCAGTAAGAGACCCTCTCTCAAAAAAAAAAAAAAAAATGAAGCAGGGGATGGAGAGATGGTTCAGTGGTTAGGAGTACTCACTACTGTTAGAGAAGATGAGGGTTCAGTTTCCAATACCCACATGGTGGCTCTTAATCCTCTGTATCTTCAGTATCAGAGGATCTGATTTCCGCTTCTGACCTCTGCGGGCACTGTGAACAAGCATGGAGTCCATACATCTCTGTAAGCAAAACGCCCGTGCACATGAGATGCTCAGATGGTGCGCATACATACATATAAACAGGCACAACGCTTGTATATGTAAAAATAATCTTCCAAAAATAAAATGTAGAGTGACAGAGGAAGACTCTGGCTTACATACACAAACATGCGTACACACACATCAGACTCTGACTTACACACACACACACACACACACCCATCTTTGACTTACACACACATACACATCAGCCTCTGTCTTATACACACAAGCATACAAACACACCAGCCTCTGATTTACATTCATATTCACACTAGCCTCTCTGACTTACACTCACATTCACACACCAGCCTCTGGCTTACACACACACACACACACACACACACACACGACAAGCCTCAGACTTAATCAAACACACACACTAGCCTCTGGCTTACATACACAAACACAATCATAAACACACACCAGCCTCTGGTTTACACACACAAACGTACACACACACACACACACCAGCCTCTGACATGCATGCATACACACATACGCACACCAGCCTTTGGCTTATACACAAACATACACATCAACCTAGAGCTTATACAAGCACACACACACACACACACAAGCCTCTGGCCTATACATACATACAAACACATGCTCACACCAGCCTCTGGCTTACATACACACCAACCTCTGGCTTACACACACAAACATACACACATACACACCAGCCTCTGACATGCATGCGCGCGCACACACACACACACACACACACCAGCCTCTGGCTTATACACAAACATAAACAACCTAAGGCTTACACAAGCACACACATACAAGCCTCTGGTTTTTTTTTTTAAGCCTCTGGTTTATACACACATACAAACACATGCACACACCAGCCTCTGGCTTACATACACACCAGCTTCTGGCTTACACACACGCACGCACACACACACATACACACCAGCCTCTGGCTTATACACAAACATATACACACATTGTCACAGCCTAGGGCTTAGACAATCACACACACACAAACCTCTGGCTTACACACACATACCCATGCACATACCAGCCTCTGGCTTACATACACACCAGCTTCTGGCTTAAACACACACACACACACACACACACACACACACACACACACACTAAATGTTTTCA